GACAGCTTATGAACTTTTCCATGGAAGAAAGCCATCTATTAGCTTTCTACACATCTTTGGTTGCAATTGTTATATTCTTAACAACCGTGACCAACTCGGAAAGTTCAACCCCAAAGCTAATGAAGGAACCTTTCTCGGATATTCTTCTGTATCCAAAGCCATCAAAGTATTCATCAAACGAAGACAGACGATAGAAGAAACTACCCATGTCACCTTTGATGAATCTCAGTCAGCTAATTCAAAACCCATCTTAAATGATGATGATGAATTAGAAAACTGGATGTTCTCTTACTATGGACAAGCTGAAGCTTCCTTCAGCGTTCCTCTCAACACTGAAGCCCCTGAAGCTGAAGATGATTCACTTATCATTCCAGTTGCAGCTAGTCACTCCAATATATCTTCTTCATAGATTTTTGCCGTGCCCATTAGCTGTGTTCCTCCTTCTACTTCAAACACTGATCAATCAGTTAATGAAATGCCTTCAGCATCTGAACCTTTATCAGTCGCTGAATCTGAGGCTCCTTTAGCAATTGTTCCTATTGCTAAAAACACTACAGCTGAAGTCTCATCCTCTGTTTCTGAAGCTATCTACTCAGATGATAATCCTCTATCAGCTCAGCGATGGACTAAAGACCATCCAATTCATCAGATTCTTGGTGATCCATATGCAGGTATTCAGACTCGTCGTGGTCTAGGTAATATCTGTCTCTTTGTCAACTTTCTTTCCTTAGTTGAACCCAAGAAAATCAATGATGTTATCTCAGATCCTAGTTGGGTCCTTGCCAAGCAAGAGGAGCTCATTGAGTTTGATAAGAACAAAGTCTGGTACTTTTGTCCCACATCCTTCTGACAAAACAATGATAGGCACCAAGTGGGTCTATCGCAACAAGTTGGATGAAGAAGGTATGGTAACCTGTAACAAGGCTCAACTTGTTGCTCAGGGTTATAAACAAGAAGAAGGGATCGACTATGATGAAACCTTCGCACCAATGGCTAGACTCGAAGCAATTCGACTCTTCCTATCCTTTGTTGTCCATAGAGACTTTAAAGTCTACCAAATGGATGTAAAGAGCATTTTCCTTAATGGAAAACTTCAAGAGGAAGTTTGTGTTGAACAACTTTCAGGGTTTCATGACCCTAAGTATCCAAACCATGTCTATCGTTTAGATAAAGCTCTTTATGGGTTAAAACAGGCTCCTCGTGCCTGGTATGATACCCTTTCCTCGTTTCTCATCTTTGAGAAATTTGTAACATGGAAAGATTGACCAGACCTTATTTCTTAGGAAAGTTAAAGGTCACATCATTCTTTATTTCTTAGGAAAGTTAAAGGTCACATCATTCTAGTCCAAATTTATGTCGATGATATTATATTTGGTTCCACTAATACTTCTTTGTATTTTCGATTCGTTGATCGCATGAAGAAAGAATATTAAATTAGCATGATGGGAGAACTAACCTTCTTTTTAGGTCTCCAGATCAAATAGTCAGATAAAGGTATCTTTATCAATCAAAGTAAGTATGTTCATGACATGCTGAAGAAGTTTGATCTATCTAATAGTTCATCTATGAAGACTTCAATGGCTCCTCCACTCTTTCTTAACAAGGATCCAAATGGAAAGACTGTAAATGTAACTGTTTATAGAGAAATGATCGGCTCTCTGCTGTATCTCACAGCTAGTCGACCTGATATCATGTATTCTACTTGCTTATGTGCATGATATCAATCTGAACCTAAGGAATCCCATCTGATTGCTGTAAAACACATCTTCAGATATCTTAAGGGAACTCCTAACTTGGGTCTCTGGTACCCTACAGGTTCAGGTTTTGACCTAATAGGTTATTCGGATAGTGATTTTGCAGGTTGCAAAATTTATAGGAAAAGCACCGCTGGAGGTTGTCAGCTTTTAGGTGGAAATTTGGTGAGCTGGACAAGTAAGAAGTAAAACTCAGTGTCCACATCAACCGCTGAAGCTAAATATGTAGCTGCTGGTAGCTGTCAAATTCTTTGGCTGAAAAAGCAGCTGAAAGACTACGATCTTCAGTTTTCAAAAGTTATTATCTATTGTGATAGCACTAGTGCTATTGCAATTGCAAATAACCCTGTCTTTCACTCCAAGACCAAACATATAGAGATCCGATATCATTTTATCAGAGATCATGTTATGAATGGTGACATTGAACTTCACTTCGTTCCAATTGATTACCAGCTCGCTGACCTTTTCACCAAGCCTCTTGATGAGACAAGATTTAACATCTTGATCAGCGAACTAGGGATGCTAAATGCTGAAGAATAATTTTTTTTAGCTACTAACATCGATCAGTAAGTGAAATGATTCAGTGCTCTATCTCTGTCACTGAACTCTTGAGCAAATATATCTATTCTCTCTAAGATATGTTTACTTATTCCTTTTTCTTAAAAACATAAAACTGTCATTGAAGCTTTCTTCCTTCAGTGATCAATTTAGTTTTAAAATATTTGTTTCAGTTATTCTTTTACTCACTGAACGTATTTATAAGTATATCTCTCATATATTTTTTTATTAAAAAATCTATATGATCACTGAACCTTTCCTATTCAGTGATTCAAATGTTTTTTAAATGTCAGATTCAGTGATTCTCTTATCACTGACACTGATGTCTTAAAACTATCACTGAAGTATTTCTCTCTTCAGTGATCATAAAGTTGTAAAAGGTCTTTTTAGTGTTTCTTTCAACACTAAATGACTCTTCTTTTCTTAAAAACCTTTTCGTTTTTAAAAGAAATAGTTAATGAACCGTCTTCATGATGACATTCTCTATTTACAATGCGCAACGCTTTGAGACGTGCAAAAAAGGACTGTCATATGCTACCTCATTAAATGCTATCCAATCATGGATGAGAACGTGTCATCGTTTTCATCAAGGTCGTTTTCCTCAACCGCCATCTTTTTCTCTCTCCTATCCACACTCTCTCTCCTCATACCTATAAATATGAGACTTCTCGCTTACATTTTTCTTTACGCTTTCAAAATATCAAGACGAACCTCTGTCATTTTGCAAGCATGAACAACCTTCAAAAATTTCTTCTTCGACCTTCCTCACCTCATACAAACTAAGATGGCTGCCAAGAACGTAGACTTCTCAATCGATGAAGTATCTTTCAAGGCCAACAATCATGTTGCCATGTTAGAGATCGCTTCAAACAAAGCCTTCTACAAGGAAGTGGCCGACTTCCTCAAATGGTCGTCCCTTGGTTTTGCTCTTAACCATGAGCCCATCATAGTTAAAGAGGCCCTCCAGCAGTTCTTGTTCATTGCTGAAGTGGTGGAACTCGAGGACAAGAATGGCACCAAGTAGAGAAGATCACCTTCACGTTCAACCGCATGACCGTGAACTTCGGAGTCAACACAATGAGGACTGCTCTTCGCCTGCCCAAGGGCCCCTTTGATAGCGAGCCCTCCACTGCCAAGATCATTCAATGTCTCGATGCCATTGGTTACCAATGGCCAATGAAGAAGGACTCAAATGCTCCCATGAAGTCATTGTCAAAGATTGAGAAAAACAAGATGTCAGCGATCTAGCAATACCTATTTTCTCACTTCATCCAGTCTATGGGTGGAAAGACTGGACGACAAGACCAGGCCTCCAGAGTCTCCTTGACAATTGGAATATCTGCGATTCAGCGTCGCAATATAAATTATGCTACGGTTATTTTTGATGACCTGGTGCAAAAGCTGAAAAAGCGCCAGTGAGAAAAGGTGGTACCATACACCAGGTTCCTATCCATGGTTTTTGCAAAGATATTTGCAAAAAAATATTCCAAGGAAGGAAACCTCCAGGTATGTAGGCTTGGATCCAGGATTCTGGATAATAAGCTGAGGGAAGGAGACGTTGCACTTTCTTCTATAGTGCCCTTCCCTCCCTCTTCTCCTCTGGTGATCAAGACAAAGGAAAACCCCCCTGCGTCTAGCCCAGCCACCAAAACCCCTTCAAAACGACCTTCTCAACCAACTCTTGGTTCTCCTCAGAGAGCCAAGAAGGCCAAAAAGGGGATAGCCACATCTCGGGCTAAGACCTCAACAGGTTTCAGCTATTGAAACTAGCCTTAACCCCGAGGCACCTTCAATTACCCTCCCCAGCTCTTCAGTGATTCCTACAATCACTGTCGTATCAGTGGTGCCTACCCCAACTGCCTCAGTGACCCAAATCACTGAAGGTGTGAATATTAGTGCCTTCACCGCTGAACACCCACAAATCTTCTTAACCGTTTTCTTTTCTCTTCCTTCTTTGGTCACTACACGTGTTTATGACTCATCAGTGAATATCCTCCCTGATGATGAAACACACACCATTGGACATGAGGTTGCTTCTTTCGAGGCTTCTCAGCATACAGATGCTCATCCTCTCGAGGGCATCATTGAGCAAGCCAGTGTCAATCCTTTGGATGTCACTGATGGCCCCTCAGGTATTCCATCTTCCTATCCTTTCAGTTCTTCTAACCCTAGCCTCTCTTAGCTTACTCTAATTGTCTTACAGGTCCTTCTGTGGATGACGTCGTTGACGAGGATGAGGATGAGGCGATTGACGAAGATGACAAGGATTATGACATGGATTCTGATGTCAAGCTTCTCCTCCCACCCGTCGATACCGTCTTCTGCAAAATGTCGGAAGTTCATCGAGAGATGCCTCGCAAGCCAGATCATGATACAGACCTCTCAGCTGTCAAAGCTGATGTTCAAGAAGTAAGGAGTCAGCTCTCGGCTCTTCATGAGGCTGTTCGAGCCAACACTGAAGCCATCGCTGTTCTATCAAGCAGGGCTAATGACGCTTAGGCTCAGTCTCTCCAACAGATAGAGCTTCTCTAGCAGATCCTGGATGTTGTCCGTCAACCAGCACCAGTGATCCCGCCTTCTTTCACTGCTGATGACCGCGCTCAGCTTACTAAGACACGCGAAGCAACGAGAACTCTAGCTAGCGCTCTGTCGCAGCTAGAGGAAATGATGGTTCTCTAGCATCAGCGCATGGACGAACTCTCTGGCCTATACTATCAAGTCTTAGCTAGAGAGGGGGAGATGAGGTCCAACGCTGCTGGACCATCAGCTGCTCCAGCAATCCATGAAGCTGAAGCTGAACCTAAAGCTTCTAGAGCTGAAGCTGCTAGAGCTGAAGCTGCTAGAGCTGAAGCTGAAGCTGAGATTGCTAATCCTATCCCAACCTCTGGTGAAGATGTTACAACTGAGGAAGTTGATGACCTTCCCATCACCTCTGCACTTGTTGCAGGTGATGATGATGATGAAGAAGATGATGATGAAGATGACGAACCTGATCTTCCAGACTCTGGCAGTGACCTAGATGGTGATGATGATGATGATGATGATGATGATGATGATGACTTCACCATTCAGTATCAACGACCAACAACCGCCACCAAAGGAGTCGCCCTTAGGGATTCTGCATCCCAGGGGGAGCAAAGGGAAGAAGAGTCCACCCCGTCAAAGAACCAGGACTCTAAGTCGAAAGGCAAAGGTGTCGCTAAAGAAGGGAACCTGAAGGTACTTTTCAAAAACCCTCAACCCTTATTTAAAGACTCTACCTCTCATGTAGTTGTCACTTCATTATATCAACTTCATATTCCCTCTACTACCTGCGGTCGACTGGAGTGGGTCCCTGAAAAAACCTTGTCTCCAGTACTCCTACCGACCAGCAGATGGCTCAGCTTAAGGAGTCACTCGACCAGACTAGAGTAAAAATCCCTCTTCGTACCTATAGTGGTGATGAGTTTGACTTTCTTTCAGAAGCTGAAAGACTCGAGGTTTTAAGGGCTGAAAAAGAGCTAGAGCTTCAGAAGAAGCAGACTAAAGACAGCCTAAAGTTGGCCAAGTTACTAGCTGAAAAGATTCTCCCAAAGAGAAAGTCCAAAAAGAAGGTGAACGTTGTCCAAGCCCAAGCTAAGTTACTTTCTCTTGCAGAAGCTGAGCACGAGAAAAATCTGAAGCTGGCTTAGTGGGACAAACGTTGGAGCGAAGCAAAGCTGAAGAAGAGAATCAGTCCTTACCCGATCAAGATAGTCAGCATTAGTGGATGATCCAAAGACGGTGGAACTCTTGTCTCAATGCTCATCATCAGGGAAAATCTCGATGCCATTACCGAGTACCCTTCCTACCTCAGCCACTATGGATACAACGAATGGATGGAGATCAGGAAAGCCATTCAACAATCCAAGTCTAGACATAAGCCGATTATCGAAGACATTATCAACGATCTCATCAAAAGGATGTCTAGGTATGTCGCAGTCCTTGACAGACCATCTCTGAAGAAGGGAGGAAGGAAGAAAAGACCCTCTAGTCCTAATGATGGACCATCGTGAGGAATGAACATGAAATAAGGTTCTCCTTAGATGAAATCCTGAAGGAATATGAGAGTATAGACATCTTTATGCTGAATCTTGATCTGCCAGAGAAGGGTCCTTATATACCCAACTCTGTGCACTTCAAACCTGAGTTAGGAATTATATTCCTTGACTATGAAGGTGAAGTAAGATTCCAAAGAATGTCTGAGTTACATCTATGCCCGATGGGACATCTGGTTTGTCTTATGTTCTGGATAGATGATAACTTGCAAGGAAAAGTGGTGGACCGAAAGATACGAAGAGAATTTCTACATCGAAAGAAGCTTGGAGAAAATGTACCTGGCTACATTAATTTAAACATCCTAGACCATTTCATCTTTCTTTGTAATATTGTCCACATTTTTTTTGTAATCTACTTACTATGTCTACTTTCAGTGATTAATCTTATAGTCTGTAAGTTTTAGACATGTACTGAACATCTTGTAATCTTTCCAGTGAATATAATATAAGTGTTTTTGTACTTCACTGAAAAAGATCCCTGAAAAAAAGTAATAGGGACACAAGTCTATGAGTTCCAGTGTTACTTTTTACATTCACTGACAATCTTTAAGTCAGTGAATAAGCTTTCAGTTTCAGTTTCCATCCTTGTAACTTTTCTTAAATATAACTTAAGAAAATTCTTCAAGAAAAGACTGACTCACTAAAAAAGATCCGAAAATAGTTAAAAGGGACATGTATTTTACATGTTACTTTTACTTGCTATTATTTGATAAGACAACTTTCTTTATGTTGTCTTGTTATCATCAAATAGGGGGAGATTGTTGATCCTCTCTCTCATTTGATGTGATGATAATCCCTTTTATCCTATGTGAAGTATTTACGTTTCTGTTTTTCAGTTCCAGCGATCATCACTGAGTCTATTCAGTGATCGTTGAAGAACTTGTATTGTAAATTCAATCAGTGACAGCGATACTTCAAGTAGACAACACTCACACCAAAGAATCTTCAGCTAAAGTCAAAGACTGAAACTGAAGATTAGAGACTGGCGAGTACGTGATCTGAAGCGGTATTCAGTGATTACAACCTTGTCTACATATGTGTGAAGACTGCCCAAGCCTTAGCGAATGCTGAAGAGACCTTCAGGTTATTCCAGCATTTAGCGATCAAAAAAAGCTTGTCAAGCACGATTGTTTTTGTCTTGTCCTTACACACACAAAGGACAAATTCATACCTTTTCTAAACGTTAGTACGGTACGGAGCCGATTAGTTGACTCTATTACCCACCAACTTTATAAAAGGATGTCCGCTCATGAATAGGCTTTTGTACTATTCACTGTAGTAAAGGACAAGCTTTTCCCTTAAGGCTTGACACATGTTCTAACCCTACCACGTCGCATTAAATGTGCATTTAATGAAACGGGTATAAATAGATGTGTTCTATCTCCATGCAAAGATACTCTTAACCCTTACTCTGAGCTTACTTACGCTTAAGTAAAAGAACACACACATCTAAGAACAAATACGCTCATCTTCAAGAGAAAGTTAGAATCTCTTTTATTGTATTCTAAACAAGTTCTCCCCCAGATAGAACTTACTTTATTCTATTTTTATTTAACAGCAAATCTTTTCTTTATTTGCTAAGATTTAGTGTGTAAACTTTACATTGTTTAGATAGGTTTTGTCTACCTTATCTTTTCGCAAACAATCTTGTAAAATCTGTATTGATCTTCTCTTATCAATATATATTTTAAATTTGAAAATTATGTGTTTGTATTCATCCCCCCTTCTACAAACTATTATACACATCTTGTAGACCCTAACGGGACCAACAATTTATTTTGTATTTCACCCATTCACTGTATAAACCTTTTATTCTATGTCTACTTTCAGCGTTCAAACTTATATTTTGTAAGTCTAAAGACATGTATAGAATGACTTGTAATTTTTTCATTTGAAATTAATATAAGTATTACTTGTGCATCACTGAAAAAGGTCCCTGAAAAGAGTAATAGGGACACAAGTCTATGAGTTCCAGTGTTACTCTTACATTCACTAACAATCTATAAGTCAGTGAACATGCTCTCAGTTTCAATTTCCCTTCTTTTATCTTTTCTTAAACTTGTAACTTAAGAAAATTTACTACGTAAAGACTGACTCACTGAAAAAGATCCCAAAACAGTTAAAAGAGACATGTACTTTATATGTAACTTTTCTTTACTGTTATTTGATAAGACAACTTTCTTTATGTTGCTTTGTTATCATCAAATAAGGGGAGATTGTTGATTCTCTCTCTCAGTGATTTGATGATAATTCCTTTTACCTTATACGAAGTATTATTGTTTATGTCTGTCAGTTCCAGCGATCATCACTGAGTCTGTTCAGTGATCGTGGAGAACATGTAATGTAAATCTATTAGCGACAGCGATACTTCAAGAAGACAAAACTCACACCAAAGAACCTTCAACGAAAGTCGAAGACTGAAACTAAAGACTAGAGACTGGCGAGTTCGCGATCTGAAATGGCATTTAGTGATTACAACCTGGTCTACATATGTGTGAAGACTTCCCAAGCCTCAGAAAATGCTGAAGAGACCTTCAGGGTTATTCCAGCATTCAGCAATCAAAAGAAGCTTGTTGAGCAAGATTTCTTTTGTCTTGTCCGTCCACAACAAAGGACAAACCTATATCCTTTCTAGAGTATAGTACGGTACAGAGCCGATTAGTTGACTCTACTACCCACCAACTCCATGAAATGATGTATGCTCATGAATAGGCTTTTGTACTATTCTCTGTAGCAAAGGACAAGCCTTTCTCTAAAAGCTTGACACGTGCTCAAACCCTAGTACATTGCATTAAATGTGCACTTAATGCAATGTGTATAAATAGATGTTATAATATCCGTGTTTTCGTTAACTCGTACAAATTGGGTTAAGAAAATTTTGGTAGAATTATGCATAATATATTTGTACCCTATGCTTAACCAATTTGTACCCTAGACTAGTTTTACGTCAAAATATGTTTATACCTATATTGACGTAAAGTTGGGAATTTAACTTGAAGGGTAAAAACTGTCAA